AGAAGAGTAAAATTATGAATCAATAAGAATTAATTTCCAAAACCTAATTTTTAAACCTCTCTACAACTTAACAGCTTTAATTTAACCTTCTATAACGCTTGCCAGAAAGTATACTTTCTTAATAACATAAAACAGACGTCGGAAAATACACATGAAATTTAAAATCAATTGCGACCACCGAAAGCGACTTCAAATTTGGTAATAAATTTTGGAAACCATCAATTTCCTAGTAAACTGTAAATAGAACCTTGAATTGAACTCAACTCGTGACACGACACGAATACACGCAACGTGTACCAAAATTACACCAAACGTGTATCAGAATTATAATTCTGATACACAACACTTATAATTCCGATACACCAACCGTGTATCAGAATAGTAAGTGTTTTGCTTCAGAATTACACGCCACGTCGAAAATTACGCACAATGAATTGCCGAATTACTCGCAATGTGTTCCAGAATTGCACATAACTTATTCATGATCCACACTCAATGTGCTTAGGAATTAGACCCAAAGTGTTGCAGAGTTACAGCCCACGTTTTCCAGAATAACTGGCACTGTCTTCCAGAACAGCACCCAATGCACTCGAAAATTACAAGCAACGTGTTCCAGAATGAAACGCATAGTGTTCAAAAATTGCATGCAATATCTTCCAGAATTACGCGAAACGTGTGCCAAAGCAACACTAGCAACATGTTTCAGAATCATACGAATTGTGCTTGACAATAACACGAAACGTGTACCATAAAAGCACGCAACCTGTACCATAATAACACACGACCTGTACCATAATTACACGCAACGTATTCAAGAATTATGCGCAGCTGTACCATAATAACACGCAATGTGTACCATAAAAACACGCAACCTGCACCGTAATTATACGCAACGTATTCAAGAATTATGCGCAGCTGTACCATAATAACGCGCAATGTGTACCATAACAAAACGCAACCTGCACCGTAATTATACGCAACGTATTCAATAATTCTACGCAACGTGCAACGAAAGTATACTTAACGTTTCCCGTGATTTTCTGTGATGAATTTCAGAATTACACAGAACGAAATAACCGCGACGTGTTCCAGAAACACTTGACAAGTACGACAAGCTGGACCATCGCGTACCCGCGAGAACAGGGCCTGGAATGCCAGTTTACAGTCTCAATTAATGACTGGGACCTTTTCTTACTCGGCGCTCATACACTTGCGGATTCCGAGTCACTCCAGAGCTGCTTGCGTCCTTTTCGCGCATAAAATGCGTGCGTTTCAAACTGTTGACATGGTTGGCATTACTTTCACATGAGGAAGCATCTTTAGTGAATGATGCATCGTACGAAAAATTAACAATGTTAACAATGTGTAGCCATCGGTTAAAAAACCGGACCACCGGTTTTCATAACATGTTGCATATATTATATTAAATTAAATCAATCAAATGACTTCGAAGGGATGTGTGTAGAGTGACATGGCATAGATTTGTGAGGGTGTGCGTCTAAGACATTTAGAGATTTGCTTAGTTTGACATCGAAGAAAATTTCATGGTGAAAAATCGAGGAGGTTTTTGAGTTTTTGGGGAGAGACATCGAAAAGATTTCTCCTGCGATATCTTGGAAATATTTTTTTATGTGAGAAATTGAAAGGAATTTCGTGGATGAATATATAAGGAATTTGTACAGAGCGCTATCAAAAATATTTTTGAGTATGACATAAAAAGAAGTGTAGAGAGAAGCATATTAACTATTGGTACGAAGAGACGAGAAAAGAGATCTTGAATAGTTCGTGTTGAATACAGAGAACATCATCGATCTTTGCGATCGATATCAGTTGATCAAAGTAACAGTCAAGTATTTGTACCTACAGTGGGAATGATAAAGAATTAATAATCATTCCGATGGCAGTTTTGTGTTGATTTTATGCGACTATCAGATTATATATTTGAGAGATCCAAAAATCCAAACCGTGCTATCTTCAACTCGGTAGCACTAATGTTAATTAAAGATTACTATCAAATATCAAGGGCTCTTCTCACCAAAGTGCCAAATAGCTTAAAATTAAGTTCTGAATGCTATTCACTGAATAATAAGTCGCGCAAAAATCAAATTTCAGGGAATCTGACCTGCCAAACCGTCATGGCTTTTTTGGCAACGGCCGGAGTCATCTGAAGATTGTGCGCCAATGAACCTCCCGCCATGTCAAGGATTTGGGTGAAGCCAGTAATTGACAAAGTCTCAATCTCATCGCACATGATATCGGAAATCATGTGAGTTGCTTTGAACACTTTTTCAATGCCCGTTGTATGGGGGTCGTGTCCGCAGGTTCTGATGATCACTATTTGGCGGCCTTGCGGATCAAGATCCGGGAGAGGCAGAAACAGACTGCAACAGATCAAATCGTGTTCTCAGTTACGGGTCAGTGTCAGTTAAGAGTTGCATGAACTGTAACGTATCTCATTTTAATTTCAGATTACGGGTTGAACTCGTTTAATGTTTCTGCATTGTGTAGCAACACAATTTATTGTGTTGATGTTATGTTTCAGTTGATTCAGTTCAGAGTTCGGGCCAGATTCAAAGACGTAGCACTTTGGTGAGAATTATGTGCAACAGCGTAATAGAATATGTTTCCATGTTCAGTCCAGTGTCTGCTAGATGAGATGAAGCGATTAATTAAATTTTATTCAACAAGCTCAATCAATTAAAAAGTTTAAATCTTATTCCAGTTGCAAATCAGTAACACATCTCGTAGAGATACGAATAAATTTACTTTTCCAATTCCTCGTGGAAGCAATTAATATTTTAAAATCAAAAGAGAAATTCGAAATTTTTCTCTTTTTTACGGGTGAAATGAAACATGCTCATGCAACGAAAATTCATAAAATCCTATATACAAGGTGGTCAATATTTATCGTTGAAAACTCAAATTTTTTTTCGCGGAATGACACCTAATTAAAGATTGAGTAACACGAGTGAAATACAACTGTATATTAAATATATGATTTGTAGCAAAAATATTCACAAAATTCGCTTTCGATTGAAGTCAATGGAAAGCAGGACAGACTACAGAAGTGACAAAATGCGCGTGCTTTGACATACAAGACCATTTGAATATCTTCAATAGATTCGCCTGTTCAAAAATTTGCTTTCGTTTATTTACAATTGCAGGTATAGTTAATTTTCCATTTTTAATAAAAATATTCGTTATATAGCTTCAGAAGTCATTTTACACTGGAAAATTATCAAAATAAAACACTTTATTAAATCAATTGAAGCGATGTAAGCGATAAATGTAGATCACCCTGTACATTAGGACGATATCGAGTTCACGAATTATATCAAATTGTTCAACAAACATCGATTATGAATTGATAAAACCATGGTTCATCCGAACTTTTTCATGCGTCGCAAACAACATTGAAAGAGCGCTCCAGTTGAAGATTAAAAGCTTGAGTTGCTTTATTTAATTATTTTAATTTTTTAATTAAAAAAACTCGCCAGTCATTTAATTAAATTTTTAATCAATGAGATTTAGTGATTATAGCTAGGAGTCGTATGCACTGGTTTCGAAAATTTTCTATATCAAAATTTTAATTTTCAAATTTTCACTTACAAAATCTCAATTTAAACACCATGCAAGGTTTGCATTAGATCTACTAAAAAGAGCAACGATTTTTTGCCACAGCTTCTCTTACATTTTTTGCACACATGTTTCACTATTATTTTGGATGTACTCATTTTTCAACTCAGATCATTTAATTCAATTATCAAGATGCGATGTGCTTCACACGCACCAAGCTCTGTTTCTTATACAGAATATTCAATCAGTTTTATTCACAGAATAAATTCAGTTACATTCGCAGGATACGTACAATTTCATTCGCCGGATGCTTTCAGTTTCAATTGCAGAATGCTTCAGATTTCATTGAAATGAGGGGTTCAGTTTCATGCAAAGTATTCGTTCAGTTTCGTATACACTATACATGATTCATTTGGTATTGTACACGTGTTACATCAAGTTTCATTTATTGCAGACATTCAGTTTGATAAAATTTGAAGTAAAAAATCGTCAAGTTTAAATATTTAAATTTGATTTTTACACTCAGCCACATCAAATAAATTATGAGGGGTATAGATAAGAATATAAATGAAGAAATACAAGGAAAAGCTACTTTGGTTCATTAGAGAGTATGATCATTAGAGTATGTGATGTTATCCCAAAAAATCATCGCAAACGATTTTATTACAAATACAGGAAACAAACAACGCGCAATTTCATACTAATGACGTTGAGGTAATTCAAAGCTTAATCTAGTTTTTGTTCATCAATCAGTGTGGGAACTTTTAGTTCGTTTATTTTCATGATCTTTGGTAATAACATACTGCCATATCAAACACAATCAACAAATTGGATTTCATAATTTAACTTGAATAGGACAAAAAAATTGGTGCCGTTGTTATAGTGAAATGAATGTCAGCCTTTTGGTTCGGTTATTCATATCCAACGCCTTCGTATGAGTTGAGTGAATATATTAAATGATAAAGCAAATATGATTGGGTAAATAATTAAAAATAAATAAAGCACCCAGACAGTGTAGAAAATTACATGCGTGTACAGCAACATACCCCATCAGAATTAAACAGCTCTAATATTCATATACATACAGACGGCAAACACCAACAATTATGACAGATACACAGTAAAGCTCAATATACGCAAGTAATTGTTTTAAAACAGAGGAAATACACGAGTGTCTTCGTGTCATTATGGGCACAGAAATAAAAAATAAACGTAAGGAGTTTCAAAATGCATAAATAAACTCTGAAATTATTTTAAAATATCATATTTTTCATCGCTATTAGCCAAAAATAAGCAAAAAATAAATTGAAGCTCAGATTTCGTTTAAATCGAGATTTTTGAGAAATAAACTATGTAACAAAAATTTAATCAGTATTTCCGAACAATAATAATTTCTAATAGACTAAGAAAAAATGCAAACTCACCCCATCTGCAAAAGTTCGCGCATTTTCGGTTCGTCAGGATCGCGGTTCGCGAACCATTCTGGAACGGCGGTCTTACATGTGTAGAACATGTCCATTTTCTCTTTGGTTCTCTCCAAGGAGAACTTGCAGCCTCTCAAGAAGCGAAGAATGTTCCAATCATCTGCCAGAAAAATTAATGAAAATCAAGTATCACGACGCTTGAGAATTTAATCGAAAGAAATTTATTTCCAAAAGTTAAGCCTTTCGTGACTGACAGGACTTGTCGGTTCCAAATACCACTAGGTACGAATACCATAGACGACGGTAAATGTATCCAAGATGAAAGGGTTCAATTCTATTCTTACTCAAGTTTCAAGTTATCATCTGATCGCCCCACCGAAAGAAATCGCTTTCTACGATAATGAAACTATTGAAAGCAGTTCCTTCAACATAGTTAATATATAATATTCCCAAATAAATTTCAACTCGTCTATCCACCACTGATGCCTGTGATTCATTTTCATGTCTTTATTTTTGAGTTGACTAAAAATCAATTATTTACCGCCAATGGGAGCATATTTTTATTGAAAATCATTAAAGGGTTAAGGGATTATAATCCGTCAGAATCGCAGCCCAATAAATATTTTTATTTATATTAATTTTTTAAAATAAAACAAAATAAATTTATGATGAGAGAATTTAAAACTTGGACTTTCCCTGTGATGTTTAAAAGAGAATGTTTTCAAGTTCATAATTTGAAATAGGATCTTGATGATGGAAGCCTAGGTGACGGCATTCAGTTTGGAATGATTGAGTCATACAAATTCTAAACTGTTATTGCATCTCTATAGGACCTGTGTTTGATAACTCAATATAAACTTTGACTCAACAGTATTTATGTTGACGTACCCATCCTAGCGTTGATATGAGGCTGCTTCTTGAGCCTGCATCTCTATAGGATCTGTCTCTGATAACTCAATATAAACTTTGACTCAACAGTATTTATGTTGATTTACCCATCCTAGCGTTGATATGAGGCTGCTTCTTGAGCCTGCATCTCTATAGGATCTGTGTTTGATAACTCAATATAAACTTTGATTTTACAGTATTTCTGTTGACGTACCCATCCTAGCGTTGATATGAGGCTGTTTCTTGAGCCTGCATCTCTATAGGTTCTGTGTTTGATAACTCAATATGAACTTTGATTCCATAGTATTTATGATCGACGTACCCATCCTAGCGTTGATATGAGGCTGCTTCTTGAGCCACTTCCTGATGGCGTCGATGTCCTCCTGACGACGAGCTGGGTCCTCATTAAGCTCATCCTTAGCCTGCTGCTGCAGCTCGGGGCTCAGCGTGCAAACGTACTTCTCGTACTTCTCCGGCATCCTGTAAGATCCAGGGCCCATACTTTCAAAAAAAGTTAAGAGATCGTAAGTTCATCAGCCAATCATTGACGGCCTTTCAAGCAAAATACACCAATCATAGACAAGAAAATAGAGCGTAAGCACTTACGCTCACTTGGCGACTTTCGAAAGTACGGCCCCAGGTAATGTTTATTAAATTATTATGTCATTGTTGAGGGAGGTCTCTGGATAACAAATAGGTTTGACCCTTAATGTCCGATGCGAAGTGATGTCGTTCTCGTCACGTTCGGTTGGATTGTATAACGTTTGCAGTATAGCACCACGACCTCGAATTTCTTACGTTCTTGTATCGTCTCAAAGCAACCTAGTTTTTCCGATGATTCGGTAAGAACCTTGTTTAAACATTGTCTATTTTGTACCAATGTCTATTTTGTACCGATGTCTACTCGTTTACTAGGTAATTGAAACAGCAGTTGATACATATACCACGATTGAAGTTAATGTCGTGTCCTATTTCAAACTGTTGCAGAAACCACTTCTGAACTAAATAAAGTTCCTGTGTCTGATCATCTTTCACTCTCGCCTGAGGAAGCACGAAGTTTCCTTAATAGTCATTTATAATATTTAATTTTCTCCAGCTAATTTCTTTTAATTAATTAATTAATTAATTAGTTAATTTCTTTTAATTAACTGGAATTTGTGTGTAGAGTAGACGCGTCAGGAGTTTTGTGATTGCAAGAAATGAATACTGAGCCCGTGCACAGAGCATGACATACGCAAACTTCCAATGTCTTGAAGATCAAGTGGTATTTCAATTGAATTTATTAAGACAAGAATAGTATAAATTTGATTTAGTTAGCTAATTTTTTTACCTAGCTTTGTTTGAGTTGGTTATTAGAATCAATGTATCTAATTTCCTGGTATAGTATAGGGAGTGGAATGCTAGTTATTATGCTATTAGAGCTAAATAGTTAAGACATTACTAAACAAGTTAAATAATTCGACTCGAAGTAGCGCTCGAGAATTTTGTGGAATTCAATGTGGTGTAAAAAAATGCGAGAATATTTATGTTTAACTGAATGCGGAATCTGACGGTTCAATAACATGAAACAGAAGTATTCTAAGATTATGCGGACAAAATAATACCTAATTACGGATAACCTGAGGTTTCAACAAGCCATTTGGATTCTTTTCCGGCGTAATTCAGGGTAAGACTATTCAACTGCATAATTAAAGTGACAGGATGCATTCACTTGAATGCAGTTACTTGATGTCGAAGCATAAAATTCCGATTAAAAAAAATTTTCAGGGTGAAGTAAGCCAGACTGGCTACCACACATGCAGTATGAAGAATAAAAATGTCATGAATAAAAATTATGAATATTGAAAAAATTATAAAATAAAAGGGAAAGTTTTTGGGAGGGCACATTGGCTCACTGTTCCATCTACTATCTCTATATAAAGAAATATTTATAGTTCAGCACACATGTTCACCTAAAAGAAGTTACAATCGTTATCAACCAATACCGATGGCTCGCGAGTTGGATGAGACTTCAACCTTCACTATGAAGAAACTTCATCAAGTTGTAACTCAGAAAGGAATTCGACAAATCTCTAGTATTTAATTTTCAATATGATCAACCGAAGCAATAAGCAGTACTCGACAGCTGGTCATTCATCGGCCAGCTGATAACTGCCCGTTGACTCAATCAGTGAAACAACAGACATCATCTCACGAACACTACACATCGAGAGCATAAACTTTCCGACGTGAGGATTTGGCAATAACTTTTTTGGTTGGACTGTACCGAGTACACCGTCCTAAGACTATCGACATTGGACGAGCAAAGGCAACATCCTAATCAATTGAAATTTTGTAAAGATACCTTTTTGGATCTTAGGTGCCATACCATCAAAAAGTCACGAGTTCTTAACCTTGTCAGCAAATGACTTGTGGCTTTTCAAACTAAAAACCCACCAATCATAGACGAGAAATCTGCCGATACGTTTACCTAGAAGAAGGTTTTTATATTACGGATTCAGTTTCACTCGTGCATTCGCTTCAAAATATTCTCGAAAAACTTTTCAGTTCGATATTCAGCGTTGAATCTTTAAAGATACTTGCCTCGATCTTGCTGGTTAGAAAGTAATTCTTTTCTTGTTCGCCAGTAGCTCTGGCAGACTGACATATTTTCAAATGTAAAGTGTTTCGAAATTTATTTAGTTATTACGATAATTATTATTATTATAATTATAACCTGACAAAGTCGGACTATGACAAAGTCGGATTTTCCGACAAAGTCGGATTATGAATAGAAATATTATATTCAGATTCTCACCTGGTTTGGGTTGATTAGCTTATCCCGTTAGTTGGATTACGTAATGAATTAAATATCCTTGAAGACGAAGAGCGTAAATCTCCACCTCCACTTCTGACGGCTTCTAGACCACGAAGATCTGTTATGCCATGATGAAGGTATAAACTGATAAAGCCTATCATATTTTGATTGTTATCTTTACGTGATAATAGCGACTGCAACAACTCAAGTGTAGCTTCAGCGCAATTCACCTTGAAGACTAGACAGAAGTTTTACCTTATTCATGTTTATATTACATTTTTTTGACGTTGAATTCATGGCAGATGTTCCATTTATTACATTTAGATACAAATAGGAAATAATATTGATTTTATTCTATTTATATTATATTTTAGGAGTATTCGTGTGGAATTCGTTCATAAACCTATGTACAGGGTTTTTAGAAATGGATATAATCAATTTACCGAGCGTCTCCTTATAATTTTAGCTTCAAGCATACTATATTTTGCTCTCAAGCATATACTGTAAAGGATTTTCTTGCTGGCTAGTCTTTTGGGAACGTTTGCTGAACTATTCTAAGACGCATCATCATGGCACGGTAAAAAACGAGTATTCCATGATGTACAGTTTCTAGAAAGAAAATTACAAGAAAATACAGTACATAAAATATATATGCAAAGAACGATTCATGATATATACAAGAAATGACAACGTATGAACCAAGACAAATCAAATAAATATGAATCGGTATAGTCAATAATTCAAGTAATGTAATAAACAAATCTAACTGACCGAATAGCTTGCGTTCCTTGGGTACTATACAGGCATCTATGATCAAACACTGAATGCTCTGGTGCATCAGAAATAAACTACGTCTAATAGACCAATTCTACATCTTCATATTCCAGAGAAATGGAAAATGGCGGCTACACATACTATATATTAGCTTTCAAGCATACTATGTTTTCGCTTCCAATCAAACTATATTTCAGCTTTCAGGCATAATGTATATTTTAGCTTTCAGGCATACTATATTTTAGCTTCCAAGTATACCATATTTTAGCCATCAAGCATGCTATATTTTAGCTTGCAAGCATGCTATATAGTACAGGGTGACACAAAAAAAACAGAGCTCACTAAAAGTCTTATAACTCCTGAAATTTTATTCAGTTTGAAACAAAAATTCTATGGAATTACTGTATGTACAACCTATGTAGCCAACATCTGCAAAATCTCAATTCTATACCACAAAAACTCTTTGTTCTACAGCCGCTCAAAGATATGTTCCAGATGCGCGCCCCGGCGCTGCAGGCAACCAGCATCAGGTATATGCACCAGCATCAGGTATATGCACCAGCATCCGGTATATGCACTAGCATCAGGTATATGCACCAGCATCAGGTATATGCACCAGCATCAGGTATATGCACCAGCATCAGGTATATGCACGAATATCAGGTATGTGCACGAACAACAGGTATATGCACCAACATCAGGTATATGCACTAGCATCAGGTATATTCACTTGGCATTCGGCCCATGCAATAATGCGTTGGACTAAACGAGTTTACCGCAACTCCAACCAAGCTTTCAATTCTGAAAACGAACCTTAAATAACCAGTGAATTAAAATACACTTCTATACCTATTGGATGTCAATTCCTCGACTAACGACTCGTAAGTTGGCAGTCTGACTCAAAAATCTTACGCCACATTAAATTTGTCGGCCGGCAGAAAATTGCCAAATTGCCACCGGCGGCTCAGGCCTGAGTGTGGAGCCCAGATAAACGCCCCTCCTTTTCTCCGGCAATTGAAATTTTTTGTTTTAGTTACCGCAGCATCGAAGAAACTTGGCATGTTCAGCAGCATCGACAAAATTCGGGAGCCAGAGTGAATTTTGGAAAAAAATATATATTCTGCATTGCACTCAAAAAAAATGCGAGTACATCCTCTTGAAGTAGATATTAATTTTTTAACGTCAAATTATTTTCGCAGATAATAGAATGGTAAATATTGAAAAATTCGGTAAGGTGTATCGTTATGATTTCCCACGTTTAGTCAGAACTTGACGTAATTCGGCATCAAGTCTGAAATTAAAATTGAGCATTAATTAAGAATTAGGTTTGGCGTCAAAGTGAAAATGATATTTTAAAATGTTTCTTAAATAAAATCAGAAGTAATTCATTTGCGTCAAAGCAAAATATATAAATGCTTTGGGTTTTGGCTGAAACACTCCACTTACCCGAGAGCAAATGTGGCTGTTATCCGCAGCAGCTTTACAAGAAGTCTTTGAATTGACCAGCTATTTGTTCAACGAACCAATTGTTTGTTCATAGTCATCTCCCACCAAACATGCTATAAATTTATTTGAATTGCATAACAAATGAAATTTTAAGCGTCGTAATTGAAATTTGCATTTTGGACAAATCATGTTTATTCAAAGGTATCTTTCATCTGTGTGCATCGATAATTGCACGAAATGTTGCACACAGCGGTCATTGCTATCTATACGGTGACTGTTTTCGTACTTATACTCGTAAATTTTTTTTATTCATACAGTTTCTGGCAGATACTCAAAGAAGATCAGCCGCCAACAGCTCATTCATAGCCTCTCAAAACAGCCCGCTGGTCGTCATGGGTCTTCAGTCCGTGGCGCGCAGAGGTGCTGGCTGGTCGGAACGCCGAAGAGTGGCGAACAATTGATGCCTTGTATTACTACAAACACGGGTTTGATTGCGTCTTCTAGGAATATGAATTTGTGAGCTCAACCGAATTTGTGAGCTAAATACCTATCAATTAATAATTTCAAGCAAAGAAGAATTTAGGATTTTATCCGGTTAATTTTGATTATGCTCTTGATGCGAGAATTATTATTATATTTATGAAGTTTTTAAATGATAATGACGCTGGTCTCCGAAACGTTTTCAGTAGAAATATAGTGAATTAACTTGATTTTTTCCTTTAGAGTGCTTGCGATTTGTACTAGCAAATGCAATAAAACCTTATATTTAAAAGCATTTTTTGGCAATCAAACTACACATTTATTGTTCCCTATACAGAAGACCAGTTCCTTACGATATTTCAAGTTAAGTGGTCGACTGAATTATGTTCTTTATTTGTAACCCCGTATCGGGCATGGTAACGTCGCAGTCCACAAAATTACGAAACGAGAAAATTTACTTCATTTTAACGTCAAGCAATTCTATCAAACAAGTAAAGCTTGCCAACCCGGAAATTCATTTCTTAAAAATTTTTACAAAATGTATCTGCCAGATTGAAACTTTACATTTTACGGTAACAACCCCAACATGGACGAATCAAAATTATCTCTGCGGGAAACAAAATATCTTTACGACACAAGAAAGAGGAACTTATGTAAAAAAATTCGACCGCAAATATCCCCAAATATTGACAATGGGATGATTAGCAAGCCATTTCTGATCGCTTACTAATCTGAAACTACAATTCGAAGCAGCGTTCATCTGCAATTTTATTTTTCTATGTTTCCAGGGATCAGGATTTATCATCATCATCATTACACTGGTTTTCATTTCAATTTTCTCGCTAAAGAAAAAACATTAATTTTATTGAATTAGCATTAGTTTTCAGCGATCGTCACGACAGCTGTCAACTGATCTGCAATTTTATTTTTCAATATTTTCAGGGGTCAGGATTTGTTTTTATTTTCACGCTGGTTTTCCTTTCAATTTTCTCGCTGAAGAAAAAACATAAATTTTATTAAATTATCATAAGTTTTCAGTGATCGTCACAACTGCAGTCACCGCAGCGTAAATGCTAAGGCCGATGGAAGAAGGCACGTCGCGTAAGCGGTCGTCACCCACCGCCGTGGTCATGGTCGTCTACGCTGCCTTCGTCCTGGACAACGTCCTCCTCACCGTCGTGGGTGAGCGTGTAACAGGGCGTGGGTGAGCGTGTAACGGGGCGTGGGTGAGCGTGTAACGGGGCGTGGGTGAGCGTGTAACGGGGCGTGGGTGAGCGTGTAACGGGGCGCGGCTGAGCATGTAACGAGGCGATGTAACGGGGCGTGGGTGAGCATGTAACGGGGCGTGGGTGAGCATGTAACGGGGCGTGGGTGGGCATGAAAAATACTTGAGCTTATGAATGTCCGAAAGCGCGGGAGCGTATTGAGTGTCATAGCGCTGTTAGGCGCCAGAACGAAGGAACGTCGATGAGCGTAGAGTGGCAATGGAGCTTTACTTACATCTTTTTTAGTGGAGCTTCACTTCCATATTTTTCAATTTACCTTTCGTAAAGGGAGGAATGGCTTGAGCCTTTCTTTGTTGAATCTTTCCATATATCTTTCAGAGTAATATCAACCAGCTCTCATTACTTAATGCACAGTGAATTCTGGAACGATGCCTTGATGAAACACGCAAATGAAAATATTTTCGAACTCGCAAAAAATTGAATTAGTAAGTAAATTCGGAAATAAGTATAATTTTCATACAAATATGTTCCTGTGCATCGTCTTCTGTAATTATATTGAGCTTTTTGACAAATAAAGCATTTGTTTTATACCAATTTTCAGTTCCAATTTTACCGGAAAACTTGGCTCGACTAGAAGCTGAGGACCGGCCAATTTTCGCCCTACCTGCAGTGGTGCTACACGAACCCAACATCCTAAAGACAGACATGGGCGTGGAAATAAATGAAGATATTAACCACGCAATCCATATCCCATCTAAATCATTGATCGACAACGTCACGAATAAGAAGAGGAATCGCCTTAGAACAAACATGTCAGATGTTCCTCGAAGGAAGACTCCGCAAACTGGTCGTAATTCCGACCAATCATTAGTAAACAGATATAGAGACTTCATTGAATTGAATTTTCCCAATGAAACAAAAATAAATGACTTGACATCGCTACGCCAAGCAAAGGCTTTGGAATCTCTTAAATTTAAAGAGAAACTTAATTTTTTAACTAAGAGAAACCACTTTCTGGAACCGTCGAAGAGAACATCAAGGACCCCGCAAGAAATGACAAATAATAATACTGTACGAAACGTCGGCATAAACCACAAAGCCCAACACATAATAGTAGAAAATTCCACTATTAAATCACGGATTGCTACTACTTTAGACGTCACGCAGAAAGCAAGAAGAAGCGTTCGTTATCCGTTCTCTACGTCAGACGAAGACAAAGATGACGACGAAGACAAAGATGACGACATGGATGAGGAGGTCGGCCTGGTGCTAGCCATCAGGTCGCTGGTGCAGCTCATGGTCACGCCCCTGGTGGCCAAGTGGAGCGCCAGGGCAGGCTATGCCAGACCCATGATCATCGGGGGATGCTTCTTGCTAGCGTCCACCCTTAGTGAGTCATGCATTTAGTTCAGTAAAGCTGTTATTTGATTTTATGCGTATTGTAAAATTATGGCATAAACTATAATTATTAGTTGCTGATTAAGGCTTCATACATTTTGTTCAGTGAAGTTGTTATTTAATTTTAAGCGTATTGTAAAATTCAGGCACTAACTATAATCATTAGTTGTTGATTAAGGCTTCATACATTTATTTTAGTTAAACTGTATTTTTTATTTTAAGCGTATTGTAAAATTCTGGCATAAACTATAATTATTAGTTACTGATTAAGGCTTGATTCGCACCATACTGCCGGGCATATGCCACTTACGGATCGTTCTCCCTGCCATGCAGGTATTCATATGTTCAGTACCGTTTATTTGGTAAAATTCAATTATTAGGCTTTTAATTGCTTCTAGTAATTAATACATCGGAGAAATTGTTAATGTATCAAAAAATTATTTGTCAACCATATAATATCAGCTCAACTTGTATAGTTTTTTCGTCCATTTTCTATAATATTACCTATACATATATATTTTTAGGATAGGCGTGATGTTTTCCAACAATGAATAGTTTAATAGTTCCACCCCTGAATTATTTTTATTTTCAATATGAGTAGTAATTCCATTTATTATCAATTTCATCTCTGTTTAACTGATGAACTTAATGTAACAACGTTGATTGTGAAGTCCCATATATGGCAATTAGTTTACACGAGACAAAATTACGAATATGAAAGAGTGAAAAAAATACCATTCGAATACTTCTTTTGATAAAAATACACAACATGCCCATGAATATGAAATAGTGAATAAATAACATTTAAATACTTTTTAATAATTATGATAGAAATACGCAGCATGCCACTCACGTCTCGATCAAAATATCGTTTGCGTTGAGAGTGGCTGGACCGCGACTGACATGACAGGTGACTTGCACAGGCAGGTGCTCGGGCAGGTCTTCTATTGCACAGGCAGGTGCTCGGGCAGGTCTTCTATTGCACAGGCAGGTGCTCGGGCAGGTATTCTATTGCACAGGCAGGTGCTCGGGCAGGTCTTCTATTGCATAAGAGAATATTGGACTGGACCGTGACCGGCGAGTGTCCGGCAGTATGGTGTGAACCAATTCTTAATATTGAAAGTAGATTTGGTTTCTAATCACCAAATAGATTTTGCACATCGATTAGAAAATTTGGTTGTTCAATGTTTGACTATGAATTCGGAATTATGAGATTAATATTATATTTAGCAGTTCAGACTAAGTAAATTAAGATTATATCGAAATAAAGAGACAAAAACAGCATGGGTTCGCGGAAATTTGACAATTTAATTTGTGATTGCATTCGGGACAAATATTCAAATAAACCATGTCAACTACCGCAAAATAATTAGGATATCAGCATAGTTTGAATTTATTTGCGCCCTAAAATCATGTACAATTTCTTCGGTTTTATGTGCAGCGTTTGCGTGCGCTCAGTCACTGACGCACTTGGCCGTGGCGCGCTGTCTGCACGGCCTAGCGTCCACCTGCCTCATTATCAACGGTGCGTTGAATTGTTGATACGGTCTTGAATAACGGTGCGTGAGACAATAATAATAGTAAATAAAGTTGTTATTAACATTATTTAAACCAGTTATAACGGTACGTAAGTCTATTATCAACGGCACGTAAGCCTGTTATCAACGGTACGTAAGCCTGTTATCAACGGTACGTAAGCCTGTTATCAACGGTACGTAAGCCTGTTATCAACGGTACGTCAGCCTGTTATCAACGGTACGTAAGCCAATTACAATGCTTTTGTGTTTCTACAATTTTTTTTCATATTCTCATGCGTTCAATATTGGCAGGGTTGGGGTTGGTGGCCGCCAGTCACCCCGACGATGCGGCCCGGGGTTGCATGATTGGCAGGGTGCAGGGTGGGGTTGCGTTGGGGGTTGTGATGGGGTACCCCATGGGGGGACTGCTGTACCACCTCACCGACTCCCCAGCGCCCCCCTTCGTCATCCTCGCTGGGGCCGCTGCGATGCTCGTCGGTGAGGTTAAAAAATAATTTTTTTAGTGGCATGATTTATTTAAATTCCACTATGATTAATTTAAATGATTAATTTAAATTTAGTAATTTGACTAATTAATTAATTAGTGGCATGATTTATTTAAATTCCAGACGCAACGATTTATTAAACATTGCTCGTATCATGATTTTTTCCCCCATTTAAGGCGACACGGTTCCTTTTTCACTTCCATAATTTTGGAGGATCCATATGACATGATTTTTGTCAATTTTTCTGACAAGATTCCTTTTGTTTACTCCCATAACTTGCTGCAACTCTACGTGACACGATTTATTCTTTTTCCATGACTTTTAACTGTCTGTGTCACATAATTTTTTCATTTTAGGTGTAATGTTTTACAGTACAGGATGATTCACGGACATTTTCTGCTTTGTATTTAGAGATAAGCAGTCAGATATTGTTGGAAAAGGACGTAGAGTATTTCATATGAAAGATACAGTCCTGAAGTTTTGTGTTCTGCCTAGTCAGTTGCCGCTATGCATTGGACAAGTGAGCAGCGTGCGTTTGCTGTCAAGACGTACTTTTCTAATGGCCGTTCCACTATCGCTACTCAACGAGCATTCCTTATATTTTGAAGAAAACAAACGCGCAGTAACTGTCACTGCAGCTCGGTACACGCAGATGATTGATGCCTTTTTTTGCTGCGAACTTTGCTACGTTGAAAGCAACGTATTTCAGCAGGCAACGTACTTTGCTGCGTTGAAATAACGTTGAATATTAGTCCAGAATGAAAAGTGAATCAACGTCATTTTTCAACGACGTATATTTTGACGTTGTTTGAAAGTTGAAATCGCGTGAATACAGCGACATTCATGATAAAACATGTTAACCGGATAAAACCCTTTATAAATGCGCTGTTAACGTCATAACTCTCAACGCAATTTCAACATTGAAACAACGTCGAAATGTGCGACGTGGAAAAAATGACATTATTCACTTTTAATTCTGGACTAATATTTAATGATATAATAATATCATTAATAATATTTATTTCGGAATAATATTTAACGTTATTTATTAATATTTAACGTTGTTTCAACGTTGATTCAACCTGACATTGCTTGCTGGGAACATTTTGCAGAGCGCCTCATCTCCTTGACAGGCGTCTTTTTTGTCCGGCCCGATCCCCCCTGCTTTGGGTCCGAATGACTTTTTTCATTGGGTTATCATAAATCAATTGTTTACAATGACTGTCCAATTAAGGGCCTTACCTCATGCATTTGTAGAACAACATACGCCAAGCCATCGCCGTCATACCCGTCAATATGCTGCAGCGAGTTGAAAGGAACTTAAAAAATCTACTAACTGAATGCATTGACAATGGGAGCCGTCATTAGTCCGATGTCATTTTTAAAACTGAGCGATACAAAAATTCAGGTATTTGTTTTTTAATTAAATTTATATTTTAATGATATCTTTACTAATTTTTTTATTGACCTTTCATATCAGGAAGTTTCCGTGAATCACCCTTGTATTTAGTGGAAATTCGACACGATTTTTGTCACTTCAGGATTCTTTCTTATTAAGTTCAATAAATATTAGAAGACCATGTAACATGATTTTTTTATTACAGGTGCAATGATTCGGATACTGGAGCCATACAGAGATATGCAGGTGAAATATAGCCTGTTAATGTATTCCTTTAATTGAATTTGGGTATTATTTTCCATTGAAAAAATACCTTCTCTGCAGCAAGATGATAAATTATATTCAGAGCGTTGACTAATATCACGAACAATCTCAATAAATGATACCTAGATTCTGAAACATTCATTTTTAAAAGATTGATGAAACATTTAATAGAATTCCAGTGCTTTACCCTTGACTTCAGCATTAAAATACCTCACAGTGACAATTTTCTTCTGCACGAGGAACACGTTTGCAAATGTAAAATTCAAAATTTCCAATTCTGCACCCTTTTTAGCGCATTTTCTCATTTATGGGAAAAATGCACTATTATGCTCGCCATGTCCGTCTGTCCGGTCCGTCTGTCTGTCCGTCCGTCCGTCCGTCCGTGACTTCACGTTTTCGTCGATGAGAAAATGCGCTCTCTGTCACTCACTGCAGTAGGTACCGAGTTATATTTTTTTTCAATTGCCTCATATATTAATCGTATGATAAATATCATTGTTTTTACAATTGCCTCATATATTAATCGTATAATAAATATCATTGTTTTTACAATGGCCTCATATATTAATCGTATGATAAATATCATTGTTTTTGAAATTGCCTCATATATTAATCGTATTATAAATATCATTGTTTTTACAATTGCCTCATATATTAATCGTATAATAAATATCATTGTTCTTACAATTGCCTCATATATTAATCGTATAATAAATATCATTGTATTTACGATTGCCTTTAGCATGAGCTCGGCAGCGGGCCGGACCAGCCCGGTCTGCTGCAGCTGCTGCTGGACCCGGTGGTGGGTGTGGCAGGCGCTGCCATCATGGCTGCCACTGCTGTCTTCCCCGTCCTGGAGACCTGCTTGCCATCCCATCTCAGGGCCACCGTCCATCCCGAGGTCTGTAGTCGGTGGTCGGGGTAATGTCTACCAAAATACTTATAAACATCTATTCCTATGAATTAACATGGTTTTCATTATTATTCAGAATTACTAATGATATAAAAATATAAAATATTCTGACCGATTCTAGCCAATAGGTTCAATTTTCATTTAGCAGCAAAAACATTCAACGAACTTCTGAAAAACTACTGGCAACTGGCTGATTTGACCAGTCACCTGGCTGATTTATTTTCTGGATGTGTCACCGACAGATATAATTAATCCGATGATTAATTTAGATTGAAACAATTATATCGAAAAGAAAGAAACAGTAGGACATCGAGGGCGAAAAAAAACAGTTTGTTGTACTTTGGGCACATAGCCTCCTCAATGTTTCTTCCTGAACCACCAGAGGTACATTTAATTGCACTGTACGTATGTATAGTAGGAACTATTAATATTCACTAGTCACTCATCATTCAGTTTAACACATATTTGAATACCTCATTGGTCAAGGCCTCAAGTGTACTCATACCCATTGTTTTAATATAGTTCTGATTTCTATATGAATAAAGTTCATAATAAGATGACTATCTGATGTTCGAGACCGCAAAATACTGTGAATGTTCTGCGATGTTAAGAATCGGCGACAGGCCTACGGCCTACTAAACGCTGAAACCGCTATTATTATTATTATTATGGTCTGGCTTCAATATCGTATCAGTCTCAATGTACCCGTCGAGCTGACACGTTCTAACTACCGCCGTAATGTACTGTAAGTTTTCTACCACGTACATGCTGACTTTAAATAATTGTTTGTTATTGTTATATTTGTGTTATGTTGATTAATTTTTAATGTCGGTTCTTTAAGTAACCGGACATTTTTTCGAATAAAGCTTGAATTGCCGAGTATTCCTTATTTCATAAGCCCATGTTCTAAATTAATGAAAGACGGACCGTAATATATTGTAACAATTTATTCTTTAAAGCCTGTAACAATATATTATATTGTAATAATTATATTGTAATAATATATTATATTGTAATAATATATTCTGTAAAGCCTAGTTAGTTAGAACCAAAGTTAGAACCACTGCCATTTTCACTTCATATACTCATCTTCTAAATTAATGAGAGACGAACTGTAATATATTGTAACAATGTATTAAATTGTAACAATATATACTGTAAAGTCCAGACTTTAATTGAATCCAGGCAAACGATAACCATAAAAGTCAGAACCAGCGCCATATTCTCAGCAATATTTCCTTAACAAAGAAGTTTTCTTCTACGGCCAGCGGTGGGAGCTCGGCGCTGTGTTCCTGCCCGACAGCCTCGCCTACTTCGCGGCGGCCACTTTCTTGGCAGGACCGGCGCAGCATTTCGGCCGCATCAGGGCCGCCGCGGCCGCCTGTTTGCTGGTTGCCGTCGCTGCGTTTTTGGTGAGATAATTTTAATGCGGCAACAAGTTTTTTATAAACAGTCATCAAATAATTCGATCTCACATCAATTTTGGTGGGATATAATTAATGCGGTGATCTTGAAAATAATCATCAAATAATTTGATCTGATAAAAATTTCATAGAGCTAACTTATCGAAAAATTATGGTCGCTCTGATATGTTGAATTTCTTAATACTTACGACAGTATTTTTTTCTGCGCTTTAATTTATTATTTATTATTTAATACAAGACCGATAATTATGTTCTTGGTGCCTATTAAAATTTATTTCGACCAGCATATTAATGATACAGCAGGATTTAAAATTAATGATGCTACTACTGTTACCCGAATGATATTGATGGCAACTTAACAACAATTACTTTATTTATCTGGAACATAAAATTACCGCAGATCCCAGTTGCCAACAGCGTTGGGAAGCTAACTCTCCCACATGTGGGAGTTGGGGTCGGTGTGGGTGCTGTGGATGCCTCTCTGCTCCCCCTGCTAGCCTCCCACGTGGACTCCCTCACCCCACAAGCGCACTACGCAACTATTTACGCAATCTCGCAGAGCGCTGTGGCACTTGCGTACTGTGCGGGTGATTAAACTTTAATGTTGTACTACGTACCCTAACAATGTTGAGGTTAAATGATATTTTAAAAAGTGAGTAAACAATAAATTGCTGTGACAACTACGTTATAAAGAATATGGCTCTTCGTTCGGGGGATTGTTCAGAATGAAAACTCGTTGTGGATTGTAACGGTTTCTGAAAACAAAGAATGAACAATTTGAACACAAAGTTGAGGTTATTCGAAATTATAAACAATAATCTGGGATTTACAATTTCCTTTGTTTGTGCAAAAACTTCAGCACTAGAGGACACAATACTATTCGCAAAATCTTCACAGCTTGCCTCAAAGTTGTTGCCTGAGCTCATCAACTCTGGTCCTACCTAAAAGGTCCCAACCTTATGTACACGGGAGAAGTATGTTCAGTAAAAAATTCTTTGCATACGGTTTGTGCAGCGTATTGGTATAAGTGGTCCCGAGATAGACTCATCCAAGTCGAAAGTTCGAGACCGGGGCCCGATTACGAACTTTCCTTGGTCTCAGTATGGAGGAAAAGCGTATACGACAGAGGTGGTACATCAGCATGACCGTGTGCGATACCAAACCGACCTCAGTCACATTTCGCAGAGATCGTTCATGGGTCTTAAAATTGACACCTTTACATCGTCTATAGCCGATTTGTATTTTAAGGTTCACTGTCAATAATTTTTATATACTACTTTATAATTATAATTGTGCTTTGTAAAGTTCATGTTTACAATTCACGTTTTGATCGGTAATATGCAAGCTACTCTATAAAACTTTACAGTTAACTTCACAGAAGTCAGCCAGACAGTGGGCGCATTTAACCAAGCTAAAATAGTTGATATTTCATAGTATTATTCATCGACATTTGATGCTTATGACGAATATCGCAAAATAGTATTAGACTTTAACCCCAGGTTTATTCAATAATATCGCAAAATAGTATTAGACTTTAACCCCAGGCTTATTCAATAATGCTAGTTGGAAAAACAGTATTAATAATGTAACGAGTAAGCCAGCTGCAGCAGTCAACGATTGATTGTTGGTCAAAAATTATCGATTGCAACTCGAAAAATTCTTGAATGTGATGGCGTAAATTAGCACAATTCCAGTAGAAGAGAAATTTCTCTATAAAAATGCATATACCAATGGATTTTGGCTGAAAATTATGGTCGTTTTATTACAAATATTGATTATTTATGCAACAAAAATACTGATTATTAATGGAACAAAAATACTGATTATTAATGGAACAAAAATACTGATTATTAATGGAACATAATAATGATTCCCAAATTAAATAGTAATTATATATGAATCAAATCGTCAGGTCCCATGCTGGGCGTCTGGCTGACCAAACTCTTGGGCTTCCAGTGGATGATGAGGAGCTTTGGGCTCCTGAACATGGCGGCGAGTGCGCTTCTTCTGACCTCGATGGCGCCGTGCCCCAACAACCTAGCCAAGGTTAACTACGGTGTAGTTAATAATAATATAATAATAGCGGTTTCAGCGTTTATTAAGCCGTGGGCCTGTCGCCGATTCTGAACATCGCAGAACATTCACAGCATTTTGCGGTCTCGAACTCGCAACTCACTGCTACAATTCTGCTGTGCTTAACCGCCCGGCCTCCTTGCCGATTCTGACCAGAAACTGGCGCACAGAGCTGGGATCGAACCCGCGCCTCTCTGCTCCAATCCTGATACTCTGAACTGTAACCACTGGGCCACCCTGCCTTTGAAGAAGATGGTGGTTTTGATGTGGTTGGGTTTTGAGTAAGATTTTACAGCAGCCTTCCCTCTTCCCTAATTAATTAATTGTCACGTCTAGTGGGGGGGGGGTTGGTATAAAGATTGTGAAGTTCAGATAGTTTATTGGGGTTGAAGAACGAAGACGCTGACCGACAAACACCCTTTAGCTGAAGTTTACCCACGAGAAGTTCCACCTTTCAGTTCAGCTTTTTTGTTAAGTCACGTAGATCGAGAAACGTAAACAAACTCGTCATTCCCATGACGGATTGGTCGATTGGTTTGATCGCATTTCGGTGATTGGTTAATGCCCGTGACGTCACTGAGATCAGTGACGTCATAGGCGAAAAACAAGCTCCATCCGCGAAAATGAGCTTCTCACGGGTCAACCTTATCCTAGTTCAACCATGAACTACACCCTATTTTTCTATAAAGTATTTTCTCTTTCTCCCTGAATTAAAATTTTATTAATCACCTAATTACCGCAAATACACCCTATTATTTCCATGTTTAGTATTTTCTCTTACTCGCAGAATGTTAATTTTATTAATCAGCTAATTATCGCTACTTCACACTATTATGCTATGTTGAGTATTTTCTCATTCCAGAATCAGTACAAATTTTCCAAGTATAGGATTCGAATTACGATTTATTTTTCGTGAGATGATATTTTAGTATGAAAAAAAAAAGAAAGCAATTGCAGTTTACAATATCCAATCATATCGTTTGACCGTCGAATGTAAACCATCATTATATTTTTTTAATATTTGTTCTACATCCAAAGCAAAATTATGCTCAATGCAATTTATTTGAAGCACGTATTTTTGATGACAAAACTGTCAAGAAAGTGAAATTTAGTACCTCTGGCTATGGTAGTTCGTGACAATATTACATATGACATCGTTCTTCAGTGTTTTGGAATTTGTTCTCCAAGCATTGTTACGCAGCTATGAAGAAATATTAGAAATAATATAAAGTCGGTTCAAGTCTTACGATACAATCATTAATACATTAATAATCGATCACTTGATTATTAATAAATTTCATTATTACTTGGTGATGGTGACAGTTGCCTACACCCTCCAGGCCATCCTGCCTCGCGTGCCCAGCGCTGGAGAGGACGACAGGAGACGCGGCCACGACAAACTCGAGCTGAGCAGACTAGCCTACCAGCAGCTGCCTTGAAGCCTGCAGCACCTGCAGCAGCTGCCATTAAGTGTGCAGCACCTGCCAGCAGCTGCCATTAAGTGTGCAGCACCTGCCAGCAGCTGCCATTAAGTGTGCAGCATCTGCCTTAAAGTTTGCAGCACCAGCCAGCAGCTGCCTTTAAGAGTGCAGCATCTGCCACCAGCTGCTTTTAAGAGTGCAGCACCTGCCAGCAGCTGCCTTTAAGAGTGCAGCAGCTGCCTTGAAGCCTGCAGCACCTGCCATTAAGTGTGCAGCAGCTGCCTTGAAGCCTGCAGCACCTGCCATTAAGTGTGCAGCAGCTGCCTTCAAGAGTGCAGCTCTCCGACGTACTACCACCTAACAACTTTGCCCACCAACGGAGACCTGCAGTCACACACCGCGGGCTGTGGTGGGCGCTCAGGAACAGCGCCTCTGGGAACTCGACTTATCTGGCCCCCTTGTGGGGCCACACCAAGTGCATCGGGCTCCTCATTATTATGAGGGGCCACACCAAGTGCATCGGGCTCCTCATTATTATGGGGGCCACACCAAGTGTCAGTGCATCGTACCGATGCACTGACCTGGTCGTCCGACAACGTTGTATATAATCATCTTGGTTCTACCACTTCATGTTACTCGTAGAAACGTGTTTTAGATCTACCCTGAGCGGCACTCGGAAGGAGATTTGATAAATATATATGTATAAATATGTTCTATATGGAGATTTGATAAATACCGCCTGGATGAAAGTGTGGCAAATGGAGCATACCTTCAAATACCTTTCATATATACTAGATAATAAAGACTACCGTTTTACTTGGGTGGTTATCATTTAATATAGACTACATTTCGGAACGCGTACCTAAATTACTCCCTCTTAAGTTTGGGATCACACAATCGTTATAAAATACGTCAATTTTCATATTTTTCTAAGATATAATGCAGAATAAAAAAGGCGCTACAAACGCAAAATAATTTTTTTCTAGAAATGGTAGTTCACAGCCAGGTGCCGAAGTGCGATTTTCATGTTTAAAAAAAATGCTTCCCTCTTCGTCGTTTTCATCAGGTATAATAACCGGAAATAATTATATTTCATTCATATTTATTACATTAGTAAATCATGATAAGAATTCTTGAACTTTTCACAAACTCATTTGGGCAAAATTCTAAGCAAATATAAAAAATGAACTCCATTACTACTCAAACTACCGGTACTTCAAAAATAAGCTTTGAGTGTTGTTAGTTTACAACCAAGTTATCTATATCATGAAAAATGCAGTGTACAAGTTAAATATTTTGATATTTAGTATTCGAAATAATTAACGAATTTGCAACGATTAAAGACTTTTTTTTGCATGTCGGCGGAAGTGAAACGGCAAACTGTGGTAGCGAAATGAGGATGCTAATTTGACGTTCAGTTTTTAAGATACGCATCAAAGATGAAGAGGATATAAATAAAAGGCTTTTTCGTAAAAAATTTACCTTCAGCACAAATCGGCGCAATTACAACTGCTTGTGATAAAAATAAAAATAATTTTGGAACTTGTATGAGAATGGCACCATCACTGCCCAGGAGAAGTAAACCCTATTTGATGCCAACTCGCTAATCAATCAGAAAAAAAGTTTAAACATTGAGGAGGCGCAGAAAATAAATATCGCTTTAATGTTGCTGCTTGTATAAGGAAGATGTCGACAAGTTGCTTCCACTCTAATAATACTCGTGGCTGGTGGCATGAAGGCCATTCCACACCTAGATTCCTTCAGTGTAAATGCGTCTATTGCCTCTTGTTTTATATAGACTTACATCAGCCCAACCTATGAATTACTTTAATTAGCGATAGAAAATAAATACAGACAATTGAGCGATAGCTGTAATTCAGCCCTTGTTGCACAAGTATTCCTGATGGAACTTTGAAAATATATTACTGTATTAGAGGATAAAGCATGCACTAATTTAACAATGTCCTGACGACAGAAAAATTAATCTAAAATTATTCCACAATTACGGAATGAATTTAACCTAATCCAATTTCATTGCAGATAAATTACGATTATGCCTCCATTTCTTAATCCACATCTGAAAGGATTCTAAGCTAAACGCAAGTAAATAAGATTTTTCCATTCTCCTTCAGATTCAGCAGTCGAAAAAAAAATACGGCCAAATCGAAAACTAAGCGCTTGTATTTTCATTAGACGCCGGAGCAATTTCAGAAATAGAATTACAATTGATTTCACGCTAAGACGTTTCCAAAATCGATATAGCAAGGTAATTAGATTTATAAACTTTTTGTTGAACATGTTAGGAGAAAAGTCAGCGTTGTTGAACCCAAAATTTAAACTCGGCCGCCAGCTGAGCGCTCTAATAGTTTTGAAACTCTATCAATGAAACTCACTGAAGAGAATGCCAGTGAAGTTAAAAATTATAATTCAAATTATTACAGTAAAAAGTGAATATTAATCAAATTATTATTTTTGTCCAGTCTGATGAACAGACACTAAAAATTCTATCATCACCAACGCGCTCATTTAATAATAACAAATATTAGAACAAGAAACCCGAAGAACGCAATTTAGGGCTCATTTGAATAATGGATTTAAAGCAAGAATACAGAACATGCAACATCTTTCGCATCAGAGGCAGCAATCGCAATTTAATTTCGTTAACAAACAAACGCTTCATCGTTGAACATGTAGAACAGAAAAAGATCATCATCCTATTTAGTGATAACACAGCAGTCAAATAATTTTGTCTTATTACTGAGAATATCGATTTATCTCCATTTCGATACAGCGGAAACAATCGTGAAAAACTGGACTATGGAGGATCCTCTATCATTCCAAATAACTCCGAAATAGAAAGCTGTACAATTGCACGCAAGAAATATATTTTAGAGGATAGAATGTATAGTCTAGTTGTTCACTATTGCTTCAGCTCATCATCAAGGTGGGAGGTTTCGATCTTCAATAAATTAGTTAAATCAAAGATGATCCCCCACCCGTAAAGAGCTTGGAGTCTCATAACAAGCCTGCTGAACCTTGAGAAAGATGCAAAGTGAATGTTAAGGGAAAATTATGAATGAAGTGACAAGTAAAAAGTAAAAAAACGGGAGGAGGTCGCTAGCACGAAACGTTGACCACTAGCACGGAAAAAAAGGGAATTGCAGTAGATCCTGTCTGCATCCTAATGGGACCCACAGCTGAATTGCAGTAGATCCTGTCTGCATCCTAATGTGACCACACAGCTGAGTTGCAGTAGATCCTGTCTGCATCCTAATGGGACCCCACAGCTGAATTGCAGTAGATCCTGTCTGCATCCTAATGTGACCACACAGCTGAGTTGCAGTAGATCCTGTCTGCATCCTAATGTGACCACACAGCTGAGTTGCAGTAGATCCTGTCTGCATCCTAATGTGACCACACAGCTGAGTTGCAGTAGATCCTGTCTGCATCCTAATGTGACCTCACAGCTGAAGCACAAGTCAAATATCGAGACGCTGGAGTGCTCAGAAAGAATGCTCCTAGTAACAAGAAATACCATAGGACTATTGATGAGCTACCGAATACCCTCCTGGAGAGAACTTGTAGGTTATGTACTGAATGTATGTACTGAAAACTTGTGGGGTATACTTTCAAATACTCAAAATTACAATCATTGGCTTCATTATTTCGAAAGCTCGTCAATAAAAATTAAAAAATTTCATGTTAATATAAGGACTTGAATTGAATTCCGTCACGGCATTAGAATTGAACGTCCTATTTTGACAAAGATTTCCTCAAACAACAGCAAAAACAAAGTCAACATAACCAAACACATGCAGAAATTATTGTTGGATCAGCGATACCCATTATACGTCTACGAAAACGAAAAAAATCATGTAAATCAGAAGCGCCAGATACATTTCACGAGCCCAATAATGTATTTTAAAGGCAGTGAGGACGTTTAGTAGCGGGTGCGGACGTAGACGCTGGAGACATCGTGCTCGCCGTAGCCAAGCTTCTTGGCGTGCTTGTAGAGCTCGTTGGTGGTGGCGGTGAGAGAGAGCGGCAAGTCGAGGCTGTCACCCATGGCCAGGCCCAAGCGGATGTCCTTCTGCATGTGCATCAGGGCTTGGTGTGTCGTGAAGCGGCTGTCGATGATCGCTGCACGCAACATTGTTACTTTAATTCAAGTCTTTAAAAACATGTAGGGTTCTGACGTAGCAGAAACCTCAAATTGCATCATAAAGCTGTTACTTTAATGCAATTCTTTTAACACATGCAGGATTCTGACGTAGCAGAAACCTCAAATTGCATCCTAAAGCTGTTACTTTAATGCAATTCTTTTAACACATGCAGGATTCTGACGAAGCAGAAACCTAAAATTGCATCCTAAAGCTGTTACTTTAATGCAATTCTTTTAACACCTGCAGGATTCTGACGTAGCAGAAACCTAAAATTGCATCCTAAAGCTGTTACTTTAATGCAATTCTTTTAACACATGCAGGATTCTGACGAAGCAGAAACCTAAAATTGCATCCTAAAGCTGTTACTTTAATGCAATT